GGGGGAGAGAACAAATGGGCTCCCACGCCCCTTTAAAGAGGAGGATTGCAGGGGTCCACGGCCCAAGCAAACCTTTTTTCTTTCCAATTCCTTTTCCACTGCTCCTCATCTCCAATCACTCAAATCTCTTTCCTATTGAGGTGCTACCTCCAACAACAGGAGCCTGGCAAAAAGCCCGATCATGAAGTGTCAAGTGTGCAGTGGATTTCGGCCTCAGACATTTGGTCACACGAGTCCTTTCTTTCTTTTCTTGTGAGGGCTAAGCGGCTAAACCAAACATTTTTGGCTTGAGCCACCACTACGCTGTAGCGGAATCGCGGAACGTTCTTTCACTTTGCTTTGGCTAAGGAGGTTGAGAATTATATCTCTCAGCATTTGTGGAGGCCAGTGCCGATTGTGTGAACAGACTCGCTTTCTGCATGCTTTTTGGCGTCGTGATGTGTATGGAGCTCCCATACACCTTGTGTGTGTGTGCGCGCGTGGTTTACATACATTTCATAAATTCAATCTTGATGAGTTTCTTCCTTCGCTTTCCAGGTTCCAAGAAGATCAGGCACATCTTTACTTGAGCTGGCTGAATAAATTTGAGGGTAACAGGAGACTTCTTATTGTTTGATTTGTTTGAGCCCAACCTGAATTCATCATTTTTGCATGTGCCTCTGGCAATCTGGACAAGAGAGTGCCTGGGCACAGGGGCAAGCTCGAGGTAGCCGACAAAGGCTTGAGCTCCAACCTGCATCTCAAAACGGTGGGTCGATTGAAAAGTAGGTCGACCCTCTCGTCAAGCGCACAAAGGGTTTGCACAGCATGTTTCTTGCATGAAGCAGTCGTGTTGAACCTTTGTAATTCACTAGCTTTTGCTGCTAGAAACGGCTTCTGCTGCAAAACCTTTTGACAATTCCGCTGCCTCGCTGATGAAATCAGCGAAGCAGGGCTGCGCCTGGCATGAGAGGCACAGAGTCTTCAATTTTGCACTTGGCCTTCGGAGTCTTGAGTCTCCTTGAGATGGAGTGGTTTGCATCGTCTTGTAGTTGCACCCCAGAAATCCATCGAAATCCGGGTAGTCCAAGTGACAATTCGATATGGCCGCACTCTCGCATAATCGTGGAGCGGCCCTTGAAAGTTTGCAGTGCATTTGGGGACCAGAGTGCATTACTGGCAAGACCTTCCTGTTTGATGTTTGAGAAATCAAGCAGAACATAAATTCAAAAGGGGCGAGTAATTCTGCGGGCCTGAAGCTGCGGTTCAGGTCAACTGTGCTCACGGACATCTTTGCGTGTGTCATTTGGGTTCAACAAGAGGATGATGTCAGTCCATCAGGGTCTGGCACTGGCTGATGGATTCCAGAAGATCTCATGTAAAATCAACGTGGAAGTCAAGGGGCGAGATGCACCACATTGGCAGCTATTTGTTGACACATCGGCGAGGGCCAAAAAGGTGTTTGAGTTGTGCTAGGCTATACATACTTGACGGCCCTTTCGCGAGAAGCGCTTCATTTCGATCATTTTCGATCCATCAACTTGACCCAAGGATGCCTCACAGAGGGAGCTTGACGAGCTGGCAGCCGTGTTGCAGAGCCTTTGCACAATAGGTAAGAGTGGGGTCCTGTTCTTGCAATAGATAGGAAGATTCTGGTAATTTGTTCTCAAGTTTTTGGCCTCCTGTGTGAATCTGTCAAAGTTTCCCCAAATATCTAGGAACCAAGTCATTAGTCAGTGCGAGCGCTTCCTTGAAGCGTGAGCTATCTTGTGTCCTGTCGATAACTACTTACTAGCTACCTAGCGACCTCCGCGGCCTACCCCCCACTCCTAGTGCCTTACTAGTAACAAGTGCATCGCTAGTAGTAACAAGTGCCTTACTAGTAGTAACAATGTTTGCTATTAGAATTCTTGTTTCTAATAGCTTCTTGTTACTACTCGTAAGGCACTTGTTAATTTCAATTAGAATTAAGTTGTGAATCTGTCAACTTCAGAAAGCGATGGAGCACCGGACGGCTTGCCCAGGGGCTTGGTCTCTGTCTTCCGCTTGAGCCCTGACTGCGTGGCCATTGTAAACAACGATGTGGTCACTTCGGATGACAAAGGCACGTTGTAAGCACGTTGCAATCATTCCATATTCAGGTGGACAGGAAGGAGCTTCTCATTATATACTGAGCCCAATTGGAGCTTGGATTTGTTTCACTTATATACAAAGGGTGGAGTTGCTTCCAGTGTGACTTTAGTCGTGAGATCTATAGCTCACTCAGGTTTGATGGTCCTTTTCTGTGTGACTAGCTGTGCGCTGAATCTAGATCCTTTGACCGATCAGCACGTCGCAAATCCCTGCAGGCGATTGTCATCACGGAGCACGTCGCAACTGGCCTTTGCTTTTTTCCGTGGGCTTGCGGCCTCCTGTCACTCTGCTTTGTTGAGACTTTGCCTGGGACGTGTAGGAACAGTGCACTCCTTCCATTTTTTGCCTACTACAGTTTCTATAGTCTATTATTTGATCCTCTGCCGAATAACCCCTATAGAATGGGGGAGGTCGAGCTCCAAAATGACTTGGCATTTTATAGAGAGTTTTTCTAGAATCAAATGTCAACCTACCTGAGACAGATCCACTCTGAGGATCTCTGAGGTGAGAAAATCATATATTGATGGGTCAATAGGTTGATCACCCTCATTTTATAGAGAATTCATGACAATTGAGGACATTTTATAGAGGACATGGTTTTGATTCTATAGAGAGAACATGTTTCAAAAGAATAAAATGCAAACCTCTTTTGCCATTGCTGCCTAACTTTCCTCTAAAATAATATGTCATCCTTGATGTTACACCCACTTGTCTATAGAATGAGGACCACCCCTGGCTGTTTCTATTGGATATATAATTCAGATTTTGAGCCTACAATTCTGTTACATTAGTGCCTTAAAGGTTGAATCCCTTTATTCTATAGAGAAACTATGCTGTACACTACAAGGGTTGAAAGCTAGATTCTATAGTGGGGCATTGTGCTCCCAGAGCCTGGTTCATTCATTTATCACTATAAAATGGGGTTCTCAACCCCCACCGGTTATTCCACAGAGGATATTTTTTGTTCAGTCTACTCTATCTTGTGAGCTACGTATCCGGGATAGTTATTCTTCTGACCGCATGAGTGAACATGGTGCAATGAAAAGAGTTCAGCGAAGAGAGTTTCTCTGTTAGCGCAGGCTGAGACCAGCTTTTGGTTTGGTGAATTTTGTCATGCTTTGGCTCACCGCTCGACTGGACCTGGCCATGGGGCTCACCATTCGAGGGCCTCTCGGCTGACTTTTCTTGACAGCGTGGTCTTGCCAGAAGCTTTTAACTCAAGTGGTTTGTGTCGTGAGTTGTTTCTTCCATGTTCCATTGAGCTTGCGAAGAAGGTCAGCCGCATTTTCGGAAGCAAGCATACCTCATGTGACTCATGTGTGTATATATAGAATTTTCATCTCCCATGATATTCGGCCTAGAGAATGGGGCACGTTAACGTACATAGAAAACAGCTATTCTTTAGTCTCAACCAGGTGGACTCACCGAGAAGGGGTCAGGAGCTTCATTTTCTAGTGACCTGTAGGTCACTAGAAGTTGAGGATCACAGGTCTCATAGGCATGCTGGCAGGGTCATTTTCTAGACATCACCTTGTTTTCTTGATCCCACCGTCATCCTCATTTTCTAGTGGGGTTCCTCATTTTCTAGTAAACATGATGAATCATGATGATTCAAGACAGAGTTTAAGAGAAACATAACCAAAAGAAACAATATAAATTCCAACGTGCAACGCTCCTCTTCTTCCTCTCCTCAGCTTCCTGCCCTCGCATTGCTCCTTGCCTGTTCATCCTCTTCAGGATTGTGGCAACTTCTGCAAGGAACTGGCTAAAGAACTTCGTTGTGTCAATCTCAGTGTGTGTTGTTGGATGTCCCAACGTCTCCCACTACACCCAAACAAATCCTCAAACACTGCCATGCCGAGGGCCATACCCTACCATTCCATTTCTGGCACTCTGGCCAGAAACGGAAAGGTAGGGTATCCAGCCAGACCAATTCACTAGAAAATGATGAGTTCCGCCTCTATAGGGTGTGTTCCCAATTTTCTAGTGGCTTTGGTGTCTCGACCAGTAGCTGGTACACACAAATCCTCAAACACTGCCATACCTTACCATTCCATTTTGGGCACTCTGGCCAGAAATGGAAAGGTAGAGTATCCAGCAGACCAATTCACTAGAAAATGAAAGGTTCTAGGTCTTTGGGGTGTGTTCCTCATTTTCTAGTATCCTCATACCCTACCGTTCCATTTTTGGCACCCTGGCTAGAAATGGAAAGGTAGGGTATCCAGCCAGACCAACTCACTAGAACATGATAGGTTCCACGTCTTTAGGGTGCGTTCCCCATTTTCTAGTGGCTTTGGTGTCTCGACCAGCACCTGGTACACCCAAATCCTCAAACACTGCCATACCCTACCATTCCATTTTGGGCACTCTGGCCTGAAATCGAAAGGTAGGGTATCCAGCCAGAACAATTGATTAGAACATGATGGATCCTAGGCCTTTACAGTGTGTTCCTCATTTTCTAGTATCCTCATACGCTACCATTCCATTTTTGGCACTCTGGCCAGAAATGGACAGGTATAGGGTATCCAGCCAGACCAACTCACTAGAAAATGATGGGTTCCAGGTCTTTAGGGTGTGTTCCTCATTTTCTAGTGGCTTTGGTGTCTCGGCCAGCACCCGGTACACCCAAATCCTCAAGCACGACCATACCCTACCATTCCATTTTGGGCACTCTGGCCAGAAATGGAAAGGTAGGGTATCCAGCCAGACCAAATCACTAGAAAATGATGGGTTCCACGTCTTTAGGGTGTGTTCCTCATTTTCTAGTGGCTTTGGTGTCTTGACCAGCACCTGGTACACCCAAATCCTCAAACACTGCCATCCTACCATTCCATTTTGGGCACTCTGGCCAGAAATTGAAGGGTAGGGTATCCAGCCAGAACAATTCACTAGAAAATGATGGATTCTAGGTCTTTAGGGTGTGTTCTTCATTTTCTAGTGGCTTTGGTGTCTGGACCAGCACCTGGTACGAATTGGTCTGGCTGGATCCCCTACCTTTCCATTTCCGGCCAGAGGGCCCAAAATGGAATGGTAGGGAATGGCAGTGTTTGAGGATTTGGGTGTACC